GAGGAAATTTGCACTTTGACTTTGAAAATCATGAATATTATCACATTGACCTCTTGAATGTTAAAAGATAAGGATGCACTTAAATGTATTATATAATTACAAAATAATGTATTGTTGAAAAGACTTTACTACTCTTTTAGTTAATAATTGAAAACCAAACACTTCCCCACTTATAAAACTTCAAAACGAGCTTCCAAGACAGAAAAAACTCTCATCTTTCATCTGCTTGAATTCAACATCTCAAAAAAGTTCAAATACTGAAGTCGGAAATTTTTTTCATATCAATTTCTTCAAATCGGTAAATATATTTACGCATATTTAATTTATTTTTCAATAAATTAGTATACGTTTGAATAGAAAAAATTTATTTCGACATAATAATAGTTAGTATTAATTTTTTTAGCAGATCTTACGAATGAAAAAAAATAATTTGAACAGATCTATAATTTTTTTCTTCTACGTAATGCGGAAAATAGAAAAGTAATCGGCTGTTTGGCTGTTAAATAGCCAAACAGTCACGTGACTGTTGGCTGTTAAACAGCTGACTGTTGGCACTGATTTTTGTTGGCAATGCATTATTTTTTCTTATAATTAATAAATGAAGTTGATTAAATCCATTTCCTCATGCAGATATGATAATCCCCGTCTATTATTTAGGTGATTTCGAATTGAATGAAAATAATCGGTGAGAATGGAGATGGACGAGTGACATACGTGGTTGTATTGCAATTCCCATAACAGAGAGTACACCACACTTAGAAATGTATCACGATTTGCAAAATAAGCTGAATGTCGATCAATCTCAATACGATATGCAATTGAGATATCTATTCAACGATTATGGAGATTCATCCATTCCGATGCCACCGGTATTCGTTACTAATGATACTGAATTGAATTATCTATTAGAATTGAATAAAATGCATCGAACTCCGATTGTTCTTGGTCTGACTTTAATTACGAAGGATGTTATCGAAGGTGAACGCGAAGATTCAGATATGGCGGATAACAATGATCGAAATTTTTGGGAGACAGTGGAGATAGTTCCTGCGGATGATGTGGTTATTCCTGAGACAGTTGCTTCTGATCGTGATGTCGCTGTTACGCGCAGAATTCCTTCGACGGTTGAAGACAATGAGAATATAAATGAGTTTACAAATGAGAATTTGATTGCTTTATCTCGACAGAGACATGAGCTGGATGGGAGCTCACAGGTTGGAACAAGTGGACCGTCCTCCAATTCTTCCCGTGTGGCTCCCGATTATGAGGACTTGTATGTCGAGCAACTGTTTGAAACCAAGAAAGATTTGCAGGAAGCTGTGCACCGGCTGACATTAAAATATAACTTTGAGTTCAAGGTAAAGAAATCAAACAAGTCATTGTTGACAGTTGCCTGCGTCGAAGGTAGTTGCAATTGGCACTTGAGAGCAACTAAGATGGACACGAATGAGTACTTCGTAATTCGCAAGTATTCACGGGAATATACTTGCGAAATGGGAATTCTTCGAAACGATCACAGACAAGCTCGAACATGTTTATTGGTTGACAGATAATGCACAAGTATCAGGACCCACAGACGATCTACAGACCTTCGGACATCATTAACGACATCCGTCAAGAGTATTGAGTGGTCATGAGCTACCAGAAAGCCTGAAAGGCCAAAGAATGTGCATAGGAGGATTTAATGGGATCGGTTGAGGAGAATTATGCTAAATTGGCCCGGTATTGCCATAACATGAGGAGAACTAATCCTGACACGACATTTTTTATTGAGACGGGGAGCGATAATTGTCTTAGGTATTTCTTCATGGCTCTCAGACAATGTATTCGGGGTTTTCAAAATATAATGCGACCCGTAATTCTAGTTGATGATACAACTCTGAAAGCTAAATATCAAGGCAAATTAATTATTACTACATGTCAAGACGTCAACATCCAAATTTACCCTATTTCATTCGGTATAGTCGACAGCGAGAATGATCTGTCCATGCGTTGGTTCTTTTAGAAACTGAGGGAAGTGATCGGGGAAGTCGAAGACCTTGCCTTTGTAACCGATTGGGGACAATCTATAATAAACACTATTGCTGAAGTTTTTCCAGAGGCACATCATGGGTATTGCATGTACCATATATAAGGCAATTTGAAAACTAGGTATCGGGGCAAAGGCATCGTTTTATTGTTCAGGAGAGCAGCCGAAGCTTACAGTGTTGAAGAGTGTAATAAGTTCACGTTTGAGATAGGAAGTAAATCATTACCTGCGTTGGAGTATCTGACGAACATGGGGATCGAACATTGGGCGAGGCCATACTTTTCCAGGACGTCAATACAACATGATGACGTCGAATAACGTGGAGTCTCTCAATGCATTGTTTAAGAAGGATTGAGAGTTATCAATTCTTGCAATGATTGAGAACATCCGTAACGAGCTGTAACAGTGGTTTCATGACCGACGTGCGGCATCACAGAGTTGCAGTAGCGTGCTGGCCCCAGCTCAAGAGGAGAAACTCTTTAAGACGGCAGAGGTTGTGAGGAAGTTAAATGTGAAAGCACTAGATGAGTTCCGCTTCTCCGTGCAATGTGTACGTAATACGACATATATGATGGACTTGACTGATAACACATGCACTTGTATGAGATTTCAGTTGGAGAGTTTTCCATGTGAGCATGCAGTTGCGGTGGCCATGTATCGAGGTTTTGCAACGAGAACGTTATGCTCTTTGTATTATACGACTGAGTCTTGGAGAACAGTATATGCGGAGACTATATTTTCTCTACCGAATGAAACAGAGTGGGAAGTTCCATAGATCATTCTCCCGTTTAATGATTTGTTGCCACCAGCAGCTGAACCACGTGGTCTTGGACGTCCAAGTAAATCTAGAATACCATCTACCGAAAAGTTTCCTCGACCGCGTAGGTGTGGCAGGTGCAGAGCCATAGGGTATACTTGACAATTTTGTACTAGTCAAATTCCCCTAAATGATAATAAGACAAGTACATTTAATATTTGTTCTTCATAAATGTTCAATGATCTATATTTATTCTTGATAAACGGTATTTACAATTATTCATATGAAAAAATTACTTCCATTCTCAGTATATGTGTAAAATAACAAAAAATCAACTTACAGACAAATAATTATATACATTGAACATAAATTTACAATTATTTCATAATAAAAATAATAATTACACTTACAATGTGAATGTTATAGACACCGAACACAAATTTACAATTATTTCATAATCACAAAAAATAATTAAATTTACAATTCGAATGTTACATATATTTAATACAAATTTACGGGTCACCATTAAATTTGAACAAATCACATGCTAGCTTCTTTCTCCAGTTCTGTATCCACGATTGGTTGATTCCATCAACCTTATGTCCTATACTTAAAACTTCAACGTACTTAATGGCAAATATGTCGCAGTCGCCGCTACAATTGAATAAGAATGGATCAGTTCAGTACTGTATAGCTA